CTTGAGGACTGTGAGGGAAGAATGCTTCCTTTTTTTGTGAATAGTTATCTTCACCCCATGTCTCCTCACTTTGTCTTCCCCCTATGAATATCTCTGTGTTCAAATTTCCCCCTTTTAGAAAGACTCCAGTTACATTGGATTAGGGTCTGGCTTAATAACTTCATTTAACTTAATTGCCTTTGAAATAATCCTGTCTCCAGATAATGTCACATTTTGATTCAGCATCAGAATTTGGATGGACACAATTAAGCCCATATATTGGCAAAGGCAAGCAGCAGATTTGTGTGAAAGATCTATCATCTATCTATCTATCTATCTATCTATCTATCTATCTATCTATCTATCTATCATTTATTTATAACTTTATATTTTTATATACATCTTTATAACTGCCAGAAATAAGCTTTTAAACTATATACACCTCAATGTTAAATGTGGTTACTTCTGAGTAGAGGTGCATTTTGGAGGAAGATTGAAAAGAAGATTTGTGATTTAGACATATTTTTAGAATTTTTTGCAAGAAGAATAAATGTACTATTTCCTTTGTGAGTAAAATATTGAAGGAATCCTTTAACATCAGGAACAGTAACTATGTAGTAGTTAGAGTAATAGCAAGCTAATGGAACAGAAAAAAAAAATCCAGAAATTTAAATGACTTAGCACAACAAGTTTATTTTTCTCCACATAAATTCTGAGTTGAGTTGGCAGAGTGCTATGGGCTGAAATGCCCCCACTCCAAAATTCATATATTCAAATCCCAACACCCAATAACTAAGAATGCAACTGTATTTGAAGATAGAATTTTTGAATTGGTAATTAATATAAAATTAAGTCATATGGGTTGAATCTTATTCAATATAACTTTTGTCCTTATAAGAAGGGGGTATTAGGACACAGACACACAAAAACTGAGAGACAACCACGGGAAATTCAGTGAGAAGGCACCCATCTGCATACCAAGAAGAGATGCCACAGACCAATCAAACCTGCCATTATCTTGATCCTAGACTTCCAGTCTTCAGAAATGTGAGAAAATAAATTTCTGTTATTTAAGCTACCCGATACATGGCATTTTGTTTTGGTATACTGAACTAATATGCAGTGGGTGTCAGCTGTCACATGACCCAGAGATCCAGCCTACTTTTATCTTGTAGCTCCACATCTCAACACAGTGTCACAATGTTTACTGCTGAATGTCAGAGAAAGCTTGGGGGTACCTTTGATTTTGCCTAATTATCAGATGAACCACTCAGGAGGGAGAGGTAGGCAAGATAGAGATGAGCACTTGTAGTTTCTTGCATAAGTATTATGCTGCCCTATAAAAAGCAACTATTATAAGTTGGTATGACAACAACTTCATTTCTTGCAATAGTTTCTGAGAAGGACACCGTTGTGTTGAAATATTCCGACTTTTTCTATTGTCTTCGATGGGACTGGGAGTTTCTAATACAGGCTCACTTCTAGTTTTCAAACAATTCTGTACATCTTGGCAAGGAGGGTTCAAGATTATTCACTCAATAGCACTTTTCTGCACTGTCCTTTTAATAACCTATATAAACTTTTTTGGTTTAGAATTTTCTCAAATCTTTGGATGTATGATAAATATCTTACCCTTTAGCCTCTGAAACTCTCCACAAGACCGAACATTCCTGAACACCCTTGTAGATGCCTTTGGCACACTACAAACCAGGGTTTTCCTGTCGGCAGATACACCATCAAGAGACAGTGGGAAAATGGTTAACTATTATTTTTTTTTTCATCAGAGCTAACATTTTAAGAACCACTATTCACCTCCTAGGTGGACTTTAGAGGTTTTGTTTCTTGTTTGTTTGTTTTTAGGAATGCAACCTCTTGTACATGTTTTTACACACTGAGTCTCTTTCTTTCAACTTCCAGGATTATGAGCACACCCTGATATGTTGGCTCATGTCCATAATTTCAGCTCTTTGGGGAGACTGAGGCAAGAGAATCATTTGTGGTCAAGGGTTCCAGATCAACCTGGGTAACCTAGCTAGTCCCCATATTGACCCCCCCAAAAAAGAACTTTAAAAATAAATAAATAAGATTATGATGGAAGTTTGTCTTTTGATCACCTAGGAAAGCTCATTCACCTGTGTATTTGTTCAGTGGTCTATTACAAATAATAAATTTTATTAAAATCCTACTACAAATATCAGGATAGTTTAGAAAAACACCTGTCTGAGACTTTAGTTCTACATCCCCCAAACGAGTATAATATATGGCAACACAGACTACTTGTCAGCCTATTTGGAAAACACTTCACAGTGTGATGAAGATGTCCACAGAATATATCTAAATGTCAGTGTCCAAAATGAACATTTGCATCAAATAAGCTATTACTAGCACAGATAATGCAGAGTGAGGAATGGAGCTGTCAGGAAACATCTACAGGGAGTAGGATTGTTCTGGGTCAGAGGATGGGTAGATTATTCTGGGATATTCAGCAGGAAGCAGGACATAGCCTTCAGAGGATGCAGTAGTGATGAGCTGGTCAGCAGGCCAGGTTCCACAGTTGGACGAAAAAGCACACAGGGATAGATCAGGAGAAGGGTGCCGTCATGCAAGAAAGTGCCAACACCTGGACAGAGTCAGCTCTCAAGGAACCCTAGAGTTCAGGAAAGGAGAACTTTAGGTAAATATATCCCATAGACAATCCCCAAATTGTATTTGATCCTCAATTGTTGCATTCCTTTTTTTGACCTAATCTAATACCTTGACCATAGGATTATCTTTATGTCACCGGAGAAGTGGACCTAAGTGAATTTCAGCAAAGGGCCGAGTCCTAGTCCTGCCATGGACTAGCCATGTGATCTTGGGGAAATTGTCAAGCGTCTTGTGCCTTGGATTCTTTATCTGTAAAATGGGTTTGATAAACCTTATCTTGTAAGACTGCTAGAATGTATATAATGTGAGTAAAGCACCTGGCACAGTGCCTGGCATATACTGAAACTTAATAAATGACAATTGTTTTCAATGTGATTTTAAGCCCAGATCATATCAACCTTATTTCCAGAAAATTCAGCTCTTGTTTCTGTCATTAAAAACATCTCAGAAGATATGTAGCTAAATAGGTCACAGAATACAAACTCAATTAAGAATTGTGCTTTATGAATAAATATCACTAAATCGTCTCCCTTAAAGGATACATTGAATAATGTAAGTGTGGGAAAATCTTCTACTGGCCATAACTCACAGATTCTAAAATTTGAGTCAAGGTTCAAATTTTTGCTTTTCCCCCAGTTGCTCCTCCATGCAAACCACAATTTTCATTCATTTATACTTCACTATAAATCCAGACCTTACTTAGAGAGCCCAAATTGCTTTCGAAATAAACAAATTAAATGTCCTTCCAATGGGGTGAGCTCTGGCTCTCCCAGGACAGGGAAATAAGTGCCGATCTAGAGGCTTCTGGGCAGCACTTCAAGGGAGTATAATTCTGATCTCAGAACTCCCTGAATATGATGTGTATGAACAATTAGTTTGTGCACTTGTTCAGCCACACCAAGACAAGAGCTCAGGACACTTCCATACCTGCTCCAGGTGGTCAATTTTTTTCTGTTTTTTTCCACCATTCAACAGGAACTGTTAAGAGCAGGTTCTCATTCCAGGCTTTTCTCTTAGACCTAAGATTCACCATCTGAGAGTCAGGATCCTGTCACCATCCAGCTTCATTACAAATAGTTCCCATAGAAGGAACTGAAGTTTTCCAAAGCTCCCGACTGCCTTAGCTCACAGTCTTTTCATTGACTGCTTGTATCTAGAGTTTCACCTCCTCACTCCTCTTTCTGTACTTCTTAGAGAATGTATTACCACCTTCCTGATACCATTTCTGCTTCTAGGCTCCACCATTTTGTGGACAGGGGTATGTCTTGCTTATCCTAGGATTCCCATTGATAGCATAGTGCCTTCCAAGAACAAATCATCAAATAATATTAAGCAAATAAATGTCAGTGAGGCTTTTATTTATTGATTTAATTGTGCCTACATTCTTGAATATGTCAAGTAAATACAGGCATATATCTCTAATTTTGAAGAACAAAAGACTATAAAGGATAAGAAAATGCAAATGTTAACTATTCTTTACTTTGTTCTACTATTTTACTACTGAGTTCTTTCACATTTCCAAGAAAAATCCTATTTTAATATCATGCTACGCTGTTCCAGATGACAAAATAAGACACTAAGTTTTCCAAATCTGATATTTACAAAATACAAAACTCATACTCTTAAACCACCAATAAATGAGTGACTAATATCAATACACTAAGATTCTGAAGCTAATTAAACGTGCTATTAAAAACAAAATCTGAGCCGGGCTCAGTGGCTCAGCCTGTAATCCCGCGCATTTGGGAGGCTGAGGTGAGTGGGTTGCCTGAGCCTGTGAGTTCGAGACCCACCCTGGGCAACTTGACGAGACCTCATCTCTACAATAAATCAAAAATTAACTGGGCATGGTAGCACACACCTGTAGTTCCAGCTACTTGGAAGGCTGAGGCGGAAGGATCGCCGGAACCCAGTAGGTTGAGGCTGCGGTGGCCGGGAGTGGCCACTGCACTCCAATCTGGGTGACAGAGTGAGACTCCAATTAAAAAAAAAAAAGGAAAAGCTGGCCATCCTTGCTGAACTATGGATGACCATGTGCTCTTTGAGATATGGCCAGGTCATGTTTTCTGAAGCTTTGGCCCTCTCCCATACCTTGGGGAAGTAAATCTTCTCTCTCTCTCTCTCTCTCTCTCTCTCTCTCTCTCTCTCTCTCTCTCTCTCTTTCTAGTGTAGTTTTTAAATAAACTGTATTTTCTAATCACAAAAAGGAAAAGCCTTTGAAAAATAACAAAAATTAACAAAAAATGAGAGATCTTCGTGAACCATTGAAACAGTTACACAAAAACACTATGTTGCCTTCAGTCTGGCTCTGGACCTCCACTGCTCAGAACCTTGAATGCCCTCTTCAAAACAGGGTGAAAAATATGTGTCAGACTTCACTCAGGATGGAAGTTGCTCAAAGTGACACTGGAGCTTACACTGGTCATGGCAGTAGCCTCATCTGCAGCATCTGTTATGGCCTGGGCTCTCTCTTCCACATCTTTCAAAGCATTCTCGTGCCAAGTTGGAAAGAAACTAGAGAAAGTATTATTTAGCTTGACTAAAAACTCTACGACTTTCCACTGACTGATTTCAGAATAGGCTTTTGGTCTCCACATAAATTCACAGCATGGAGGATCACTGTTGTGCAGCTGCTGGTATTCCAGGTAATTTTCCTGAACCCTATCTTTGGTGAGGAGCTTCCTGGGCTCCCCATAGATTAAGTGATCCCTACTCGCATACACCCCTACTGCATTCAGCGCTTCCCGGATCACCTTGTCAGGGGCACAGTTACCCTTCATGAAGATTATACTCAGAATAACTGTCAAAAGACTAGCTTTCGGTATACCCTTTTCATCACTCAGTCTCCCATTGTAAGTGGTCTAGTGTGTTTTTGAAGATATACAAGTGGTTGTCAGGGTCCACTTCTGTCAGAGCAATATCAAAAACATGCTGTATACACTGACATGCTTTCCTGAAAATCATAATATAGTGGTCCTTGGATCTGTTGATGACAATCTTTAGTATTTTGTCTCTGAGATAAGTTGCTTTGTTTGATATTTGAGGAGCAGAAACTGTATCAACTCAGCTGCCTTCTTGTCTAGTTCATCTCTGAACGAGTTTTCAGTTTCTGTTTGAACCTGCCAGGTACTTGTATCCTCCATTACGTGTCTGTTGGACTTTTCATCGTATTTGCTCCCTGCAGTGGAGTAGGACCAGGAGCACTGAGAACTCTGGAGAGAACTTGTCATCACAGCCAATAACACTTCTTTCTCTTCTGGATTGTTCAGGATTAGAAGAGAGGAGGATGAAGAGGACAAGAAGGAGTAGGAGGATGATGATGAGGAAGAGGAAGATGGGGAAGAAGATGACAAGGAGGAAGCAGAAGAGAAGGGAGAGAAGGAAGAAAAGGGTGAGGAAGAGGAGGAGGAATAGGAGGAGGAAAAGGAGCAGAGACATGAAGAGGAGGAAGGGGAGGAGGAGAAAGATGAGAAGGAAGTGGAGGAGGAGGAAGATGAAGAGGAGGAAGATTAGGAGGAGGTAGGGGAGGAAGATGAGGAGGAAGATGAAGAGGAGGAAGATGAGGAGGAGGAAGATGAGGAGGAGGAAGATGAAGAAGAGGAAGGGGAAGAGGAGGAAGATGAGAAGGAGAGGTGGAGGATGAGGAGTAGGGAGATGAGGAAGAGGAAGATGAAGAAGAGGAAGATGAAGAGGAGGAAGAAGAGGAATGGGGAGAAGAAGGAGGAAGGGGGAAGGATGAGAGGGAGTAAGAGGAGAGAAAAAGGAAGTGCAAAGAGGAAGTGGAAAAAGTCTCCTCTTCTTCTTCAGCTATGGGAATCTGTGCATCCACAAAGTCCTGTATCTCAACTGAGAGCTGAATGTCTTCCTCAAAGGTGAGGTGTGGATGCTTTGGAAAGTGAAGCATGATGACTCTTGTTGCGAGCAGCAGGCAGGAGTGTGAGCAGGAGAGTAGGTGATGGAATCCGACAGGACTGGGGGAGAGAGGGACAGTATGAGTGGCCTCAGTGGACAAACTCACCCATGATGGTGCTGACAAAGGTTGATTTACAAGTCTTCTCCTTGGGTGGTGTTTGAGGGCATCACAGGTCTTCTGCCTTCTTAGACTTTTGCCCCTAGAAACTTGTAGTACAGACATGTCCAGCCTGTGGTCTGCAGGCTGTATGCAACCCTGGACAACTAATAATGTGGCCCCACAAAATCTTTCAACATCATATGTTTCTTAGCATGTATTTTCTTCATGACCCCATTCATAGTTCCATTTTTTTTTTTTTGAGTTGGAGTCTCGCTCTGTCGCCCAGACTGGAGTGCAGTGGCCGCTCCCGGCCACCGCAGCCTCACCTGTTGGGCTCCGGCGATCCTTCTGCCTCAGCCTTCCAAGTAGCCAGAATTACAGGCATGTGCTCCCACGCCCAGCTGATTTTTTTATTTATTGTAGAGATGAGGTCTCGCTGCCCAGGCGGGTCTCGAACCCACGGGCTCAGGCAATCCACTCACCTCAGACTCCCAAAGGCGCGGGATTACAGGCTGAGCCACCAAGCCCGGCTCATAGTTCCATTTTTGAAGTTCACAATCATGCTTTATTCATGACATAACTCTTTGCCAGCACATATATTTGTGAGCAGTGATTTTCAATTATAAAGCACAAAAGCAAAATTCAAACAAACATTTCTGACCAACACCTTGAGAACGCACTAAGAACTGACACCACTTCCATTGAACCAGACATTGATAGATTAATTTTACAAAAACAGGTGAAATTTCTCACAGGTTTTCTATTCTAATTTTTCTAAACTTTACACTAAAGAAAAAAATAGGTCTTATCATGTATATACACTAACTATATTATATAATTTATGTGTGACCCAAGACAATTCCTCTTTACTTGATGCAGGCCATGGAAGCCAAAAGGTTGGGCACCCCTGCTGTAGGAGGATGTTAGAAAGCTCTTTAGGGTGCATCCAATGTCTCTAAGACTGACAGCAAGGTGGATGGGGTCAGGCGCTGTGGGTTCCCTCTGTTCTAGGGGGATAGGGACTTTGGTACACCTTCAGGATGTGCTCTCACCTTGACTTCTGGTACTATTTAGACTTCCTCTGCTGTGCTGACTTTAGGATGTGCCTCAGACCCAGGTCTTCACCTCCAGATTTCTAGATCCCCTATAAGGGGAGCTGAGGGAGTCCCTTAGGTTGAAGACTCCATGGAGTCCCAGGGCTGAAAGATGGGGCAGGCCCAGACTCTGAAATCACCACTGTTCTCAGATTGATGGTGTTTTCAATGTTCACTGAGGATCTTCACCTTTGCTCAGACAGGTCCAGGTCTACACTGTTCTGCTGGCCTAAGGCAGAGCGCTCAGAAAAATAGTTCACATCCCCGAGGCCAATAAAAGGTAGTAAGATGGAAGTCACATTCAACCACTTTACCTCAAGTCTTCCCAATTATGACAGCAAGGGTAATTTGAAGCTACTGGCTCATCTGTTCTGGTGTGCATGTGACACCTTAGTCCTCATATTTATGCCTGGCAGGGTCTGGGAATCTTCCCTTTAGTAACCTGAATCAGATCCCCCTGCTCACTTGCTTAGGGACCCCAAGATCAAGGCCCTCTATTTCCTGACACCCCTAAGTCAGAAATAAGAAGGCAGCAGCTCAGTTTGAGAGGACTAAACAAGTTCTACAAGGGCTGATATGAGGAGCAGGTAAGTATCTATGGGGTGCTTTCTGTTATCTGAGGTGAGATTACCCTAAGTCCTCTTTGAAGCATTTCTATTTATTCCTGACAGGACCTGCACTCCCTCCTCTTTTGATGATTTGAAGATACATTTGTTGGGTCTCCACTCTCATCCTTCATCTTCCTAAGACTCTCCACAGGAAAGTTTACTCCCTGTGAGTTTATAGGGAGTAAACTTTAAACTACCTTCTGAGTTTACAGTAAACTCCCTTCTGAGTTTACAATAAACTCCCTTCTGAGTTTACAGACCCACATGGAGCCTTCCACTTTGGACAACAGGAGCAGGGTGAGAATGAGTCTCCGACTTTGTGGTGGGCAACTCTTTGCGGTGGGAGGTTCATGAGTCTTTGCTCCGGGCCCTCACCTTGAGGATTGGCCAGCCCTAGGCCTCTTCCCTCTGCTGATCTGAGTCACGCTTCCTCAGAAAAAGTCTCATACTCATAGACTCTTAAGATGGAAGTTGGAAAACAGTACATCTGTGAACTCTGAAAGGGTCTTCACAGAACTAACGGTAAGGGCAGGGAAAGGGGCTTTTCTCCCCACCAATTCCTCCCTTCTGAGGTGAAAGCTCATTTGCCCTCCTTCAGGGTTTTCATTCTATATCCTGGTAGGGCTTGGGACTTCCCTCTCTGCCAACCTGACACTACACTTCTCAGAGAAAGCCTCACATCCCTCAGATGCTTGGGATGGAAGTCAGAAAAGGGCACAACTGAAGATCATGCCTTGGTAGCTCCCAGGCATAACTTCCGGGTCAGGGCACGGCTATGTTCTCCCCTAATTCAGCGCTCAAAATTCCCCCTTTGGTGATTGGCCAGGACCAGAACTCTGTCAATCTGAAGCCACACCCCCCAGACTCCCAAGATGGATGTAAGAAAACAGCACATCTGGGACCTTGCCTTAGGTTTTTCAGAGCTAACCACAAGGGCAGAACCGGAGTTTGCCTCTCCCACCCCCTAAATTAATAAAAGTCCTCTCACCTTTTCTCAGAGTAGTTATAAAGTTTGGTAAGGTCTGGGGACTCCCCTCTCTGTCAACCTGATTCTGCACCCCTCGTAGACCCTCACCTCCCTCTAACAACTGAGATGTAAGTCAAGAAAGGAAACAACAGAGGACCCCCGTTTGCTGTCTCCCAGGCATAACTTCCGAGACAAGGCGGGGAAAATACTGTATCTATCTATGTGGGAAGGGCCCTTATTCACCCTTTAGGAGGCTCCCTTTGGTGATTGGCCAGACCTGAGACTCTGACTTCTGCCAATCTGAAGCCACATCCCTTGAATTCCCAAGATGAAAGACTGGAAACAGCACATATGGATACTCTGCCTAGGTTTTCCCAGAACTGACAGCAAGAGTAGGGAAAGCAGGAATCAGGGTTTTCTTTCCTCTTTACCCTCTACTATCCTACACCCAACCCTTGTTTTTGAGCAAGCCCCCACCCTCTCTCAAGGTCCTCTTCATAATGCCTGGCAAGATCTTGAACTCCCTTCCTTTCCAGCCTGAATCTGCACCTCTCAGAGAGCTTCATTTTCCTCAGATGGCTGAGATGGAAATCAAGAAACACCACAACCCAGGACGCTGCCTGGAAGTTCCCATGCATTACTTCCGGGGAAGGGCAAGGCTAGGGCCCCTTATATCCATGGTGAGAGGCGCCTCAATTTTTCCTCAGTGACTTCCCTTTGATGATTGGCAAGGTCTTGGACTCCAATCTCTCTTGATCTGAAGCCATACCGCTCAGACACTCGAGATGGATGTTGGGAAAGCTCAAATTCGAAAGGTCAGCCCAGGGCTTTTCACATTTGACAACAGAGTCTGTGAGGGGGATTTGTCTCTCTGTCAATCCCTCCACCGCCCCCCCCCACACACACATTGTAAAAGATCCCCTGTCCTCTCTCCAGGTTCTCATCATAAAGCCTGGCAGGGCCTGGAACTCCCCTCTCTGCCAACTTGAGTCTGCATCCCTCAGAGAGCGTCACCTCTTAAGACACCTGCAATGGAAGTCAGGAAAGGGCACAGCTGAGCACTTAGCTTGAAGTCTGCCAGGCAAAACTTCCAGGCAGGACAGGGGCTATATCCCTCTGTATCCATGGTGGAAGTGTTAGGCAGCAGTTTGACATGAGCAGGAGGGGCCCATCCCAGAGGATACCTTGTCTTTAGCCATGTCCTGGACCATCTAGTCTCAATCCAATTCCTACTCCAAGTTCCTCATTCTAGATGGAAGATCCCTCTGTCTTGTGGTTACAACATCCTGTCTAGTGCAGAAATCTGTGCACCTGGGGCTTTACAGATCTGTATGCAAGCACATTGGAATTTTAAGATTGTACTCTTATAAACTTTGAGTTATTACCATATTATTAACATGAATTAGCATCATGGCTTTAATGCCCCACAACCCCTGTGGGTTTCACTCAGGCATTCATGGGAAAGACATATGCTCAGTTCCAAAAGATATCAGCATCCAAGACCTGTCCAATCAGTTTATGAAAAGTGTAGATTGACAGGAAAGGAATC